TCTTCCCATCACTCTGGTACAAGTTGATCTTGGTCTCATCTGTCCATAGGATGTTGTTCCAGAACTGTGAAGGCTTTTTAGATGTCGTTTGGCAAACTCTAATCTGGCCTTCCTGTTTTTGAGGCTCACCAATGGTTTATATCTTGTGGTGAACCCTCTGTATTCACTCTGGTGAAGTCTTCTCTTGATTGTTGACTTTGACACACATACACCTACCTCCTGGAGAGTGTTCTTGATCTGGCCAACTGTTGTGAAGGGTGTTTTTCTTCACCAGGGAAAGAATTCTTCTGTCATCCACCACAGTTGTTTTCCGTGGTCTCCGATTCTTTTGGTGTTTCTGAACTCACCGGTGCGTTCCTTCTTTTTAAGAATGTTCCAAACAGTTGTTTTGGCCATGAATAATGTTTTTGCTATCTCTTTGATGGGTTTGTTTTGTTTTTTCAGCCTAATGATGGCTTGCTTCACTGATAGTGACAGCTCTTTGGATCTCATCTTGAGAGTTGACAGCAACAGATTCCAAATGCAAATAGCACACTTGAAATGAACTCTGGACCTTTTATCTGCTCATTGTAATTGGAATAATGAGGGAATAACACACACCTGGCCATGGAACAGCTGAGAAGCCAATTGTCCCATTACTTTTGGCCCCCTAACAAGTGGGAGGCACATATGCAAACTGTTGTAATTCCTACACTGTTCACCTGATTTGGATGTAAAATACCCTCAAATTAAAGCCGACAGTCTGCAGTTAAAGCACATCTTGTTCGTTTCATTTCAAATCCATTGTGGTGGTGTATAGAGCCAAAAATGTTAGAATTGTGTTGATGTCCCAATATTTATGGACCTGACTGTATGTTACAGCTTACCAGTCCTTAGATGTGGTGTCTACATTTGTTTTCTGTTCTGTAGCTAAGTACGTTGCGTAAAGTGACCTGTTGCTCCTACAAACAAATTGTATGCTTGCAACTTTGTATTTACTGAACTAGAATGTTAAACAATGTTATCTGCCTTTCCAGCTATTTTCTGTGAACTACAAAACACCCTCTATCCTGTGTAATGAGGAGAGGAGAGGGGGGAATTTGCAGTCCAAACCAGGAGAGGAGCCTAGGGTGATAACATTGCTGTTCCATAGCTACAGTTTCTCAACCTTTCTAATGCCCGCGACCCCTTAATACAGTTCCTCATGTTGTGGTGACCCCCAACCATAAAATTATTTTCGTTACTACTTCATAACTGTAATTTTGCAGTGGGAGGAGTAGTGCCACGTCATTGGTGTCAGTGGGAGGAATAGTGTCCCATCATGATGTCAATGGGAGGAATAGTACCCCATCATTGGTATCAGTGGTAGGAATAGTGCCCCATCATTGGTGTCAGTGGTAGGAATAGTGCCCCATCATTGGTGTCAGTGGGGGGAATAGTGCCCCATCATAGGTGTCAGTGGGAGGAATAGTGCCCCATCATTGGTGTCAGTGGGAGGAATAGTGTCCCATCATTGGTGTCAGTGGGAGGAATAGTGCCCCATCATTGGTGTCAGTGGGAGGAATAGTGCCCATCATTGGTGTCAGTGGGGGGAATAGTGTGCCCCATCATTGGTGTCAGTGGGGGGAATAGTGCCCCATCATAGGTGTCAGTGGGGGGTAATAGTGCCCCATCATTGGTGTCAGTGGGAGTAATAGTGCCCATCATTGGTGTCAGTGGGGGGAATAGTGCCCCATCATTGGTGTCAGTGGGAGGAATAGTGTCCCATCACTGGTATCAGTGGGAGGAATAGTGCCCCATCATTGGTATCAGTGGGGAGGAATAGTGCCCCAACACTGGTATCAGTGGGAGGAATAGTGCCCCAACACTGGGTGTCAGTGGGAGGAATAGTGCCCCATCATTGGTATCAGTGGGAGGATAGTGCCCCATCATTGGTATCAGTGGGAGGAATAGTGCCCCATCATTGGTGTCAGTGGGAGGAATAGTGCCCCATCATTGGTGTCAGTGGGAGGAATAGTGCCCCATCATAGCTGTCAGTGGGGGGAACAGTGCCCCATCATTGGTGTCAGTGGGAGGAATAGTGCCCCATCATTGGTGTCAGTGGGGGGAAATAGTGCCCCATATCATTGGTGTCAGTGGGAGTAATAGTGCCCCATCATTGGTGTCAGTGGGGGGAATAGTGCCCATCATTGGTGTCAGTGGGAGGAATAGTGCCCATCATTGGTGTCAGTGGGATGAATAGTGCCCCATCACTGGTGTCAGTGGGAGGAATAGTGTCCCATCACTGATGTCAGTGGGAGGAAAAGTGCCCCATCATTGGTTCAGTGGGAGGAATAGTGCCCCAATCATTGGTATCAGTGGGAGGAATAGTGCCCCCATCATTGGTGTCAGTGGGGGAATAGTGCCCCATCCATTGGTATCAGTGGGAGGAATAGTGCCCCCCATCATTGGTGTCAGTGGGAGGAATAGTGCCCCATCATTGGTATCAGTGGGAGGAATAGTGCCCCCATCATTGGTGTCAGTGGGAGGAATTAGTGCCCCAACATTGTATCAGTGGGAGGAATAGTGCCCCCATCATTGGTGTCAGTGGGAGGAATAGTGCCCCATCGTTGGTGTCAGGGGGAGCAATAGTGCCCCATCGTTGGTATCAGGGGGAGCAATAGTGCCCCCATCGTTGGTATCAGTGGGGAGGAATAGTGGCCCCATCGTTGGTATCAGTGGGAGGAATAGTGCCCCCATCGTTGGTGTCAGTGGGGGGAGGAATAGTGCCCCATCATTGGTGTCAGTGGGAGGAATTAGTGCCCCATCATTGGTGTCAGTGGGAGGAATAGTGCCCCATCAGTGGTGTCAGTGGGAGGAATAGTGCCCCATCATTCATTGTCAGTGGGGGGAATAGTGCCCCATCATTGGTGTCAGTGGGAGGAATAGTGCCCCATCATTGGTGTCAGTGGGGGGGAATAGTGGCCCCATCATTGGTGTCAGTGGGGTAGTAATAGTGCCCCATCATTGGTGTCAGTGGGGAATAGTGCCCCATCAATGGTGTCAGTGGGGGAATAGTGCCCCATCATTGGTGTCAGTGGGAGGAATAGTGCCCCATCACTGGTGTCAGTGGGAGGAATATTGTCCCATCACTGATGTCAGTGGGAGGAAAAGTGCCCCAATCATTTGGTATCAGTGGGAGGAATAGTGCCCCATCATTGGTATCAGTGGGGAGGAATAGTGCACCCCATCATTGGTGTCAGTGGGAGGAATAGTGCCCCATCGTTGGTGTCAGTGGGAGGTATAGTGCCCCATCGTTGGTATCAGGGGGAGCAATAGTGCCCCATCGTTGGTATCAGTGGGAGGAATAGTGCCCCATCCGTTGGTATCAGTGGGATAGGAATAGTGCCCCATATGTCAGGTGGGGGGAGGAATAGGGCCCCATCGTTGGTGTCAGTGGGGGTAGGAATAAGCCCCATCGTTGGTGTCAGTAGGGGGAGGAATAGTGCCCCAATCGTTGGTGTCAAGTTGGGGGGGAATAGTGCCCCCATCGTTGGTGTCAGTGGGGGAGGAATAGTGCCCCCATCGTTGGTGTCAGTGGGGGGGAATAGTGCCCCCATCGTTTGGTGTCAGTGGGCGGAGGAATTAGGGCCCCATCGTTGGTGTCAGTGGGGGGGAATAGTGCCCCACAGTCGTTGGTGTCAGTGGGGGGAGGATAGTGCCCATCGTTGGTGTCAGTGGGGGAGGAATAGTGCCCCATCGTATGGTGTCAGTGGGGGGGAATAGTGCCCCATCGTTGGGTCAGTGGGGGGAGGAATAGTGCCCCATCGTTGGTGTCATGGGGGGGGAATAGTGCCCATCGTTGGTGTCAGTGGTGGGGGGGAATAGTGCCCCATCGTTGGTGTCAGTGAGGGGAGGAATAGTGCCCCATCGTTGGTGTCAGTAGGGGGAGGGAATAGTGCCTACCATCGTTTGGTGTCAGTGAGGGAGGAAGAATAGTGTGCCCCATCGTTGGTGTCAGTAGGGGGAGGAATAGTGCCCCATCATGTATTAGTGACACCAATGATGGGGCACTATTCCTCCCACTGACACCAATGATACTTTACCTTGCTGACCCCTGCTCCAGCCTGGGCTCGCTCGCATCCTCCCTCTCCCAGGTACAGACACTTACCGGTCAGATGTCTTCCTTCTCCTCGGCCCCAATAACGCCTCCTCCTCTTCACTCGCTCGATCTTCTTCGCGTGCCGCTCGGCTCCTCCTCTCAAGCTCCACGCCGTGATTTGGCCGCTGTGTGCCTCTCCTGAGCTACAGTTCCGGCGGCCAATCACTGGCGAAGGATTGATTCCCGGGGGTGTGGTCCAGATGACAGGGACGGCATGTCATCCCGCCCACACCTGGAGACGGATATAGAGGAGCGGTGTCTCGGTTCCTAAGGCCATCGGAAATATGTGTTTTCCGATGGTCTTAGGCGACCCCTGTGAAAGTGTCGTTCGACCCCCAAAGGGGTCGCGACCCCCAGGTTGAGAACCGCTGCTTTATATGTTTCATCGTTTCTGTACACTTTGATGATTTGCAGACTGTTTGTGCTGTACTCATGAAATGTATTTGCACCTTTATGACTTTTGTGAGTATAACACTTACTTTTTACATTAAATTTACGATTTTAAAGTTAATGCACTAGGCCGGTGCACCCTCTGTTTTTTTATCATTACTGCAGCGAGTTTTGTCACCCTAGGACAGGAAGTGTATTACTGGCAGAATCACCAAGTAAAGAAAAAGCCTGGCAAAAGGAAACTAATGCAACTGCTACATCTAAGGACTAGAAAGCTCAATATCCAACTTTTATTGTTCGGTTTAAATTTGAGTTCATAGCATTAATGCATGTCTAAAATCCCTAATATAGATACCCTCTAACCATTCCAAACAATACAAAAATCACTTTTCCCAAAACTTTCTGTTGGATTTCTGATATTAAGCAGAAATGTTTTGTGCAGAAGTTTCCTTTTGCCCAGACAGCTTTTGTGTTGCCAGTAGTACTGCATTTAGCTTTTTACAGCCCAGCAAACTGTATGCACGCTTCCAATACTTTGAAGAAGCGTAGTAATAGATGATAGGATCCAGACAAGTGCTGACACTACTGATACAAGTACACAGAATATAGGCAAAATACATAGAGTCATCAAAGTTATTAAGGAAACGAAAATAATGAATAATGGACCAAAGCAAATCAGGAAAGCAAAAAAGACCACAATAGCAAGGATCACCACTCTTTTTTTCTTACAAGAATTCTCAATGTCTTTGGTACTCAGTGTCCTGATGATGCCAATGTAGCATATAGTAGTAATAACCAATGGCAAGAAGAAGAAAACTAAAGAAAAGGTGGCAAAATAATACATATAGAAGTTCTTGATGTCCACCACATCCAAGACATCATGGCAAGTTGTATTGTTTAGAGTGTCTATATATTGTACATAGTCTGTTTGGATATAAGAAGAGGTAGTGAGCTGGCTATTGATATTATCCAGATGAAGAAGCAGACCAGCCAGGCTCTCTTCTTTGTTCTCCAGGTAAGAGCCTTCATTGTGTAGACCACAGCCAAGGACCCGGTCCACACTGATGCTTGTCATGAGCAGGATGGAGCAGTACATGTTACAGTAGAAGGCAGCAGTGACAAAGCAACACATCCCATCTCTAACATTCCAGTTATTTCCAGAGAACCAATAAGCGATGTTGAATGGCAGCAAACTAACAAACAGGACATCAGCAGCTGCTAGATTTAGCATATAGACCACTGCTGGGGTTTTGACTTTTATCTTGAACACACACACAATGATTGCCATGATGTTCAGGGGCAAAGCCACAGCAACCACCAGGGTATACACCGATGGCACAAACTTGGTCAGCCACAGACTGGAGAGGTAGTATTGGGTAGTAACTGTAATTCTTCCACCGGCACTAAGATTACGTATGGCCAAACTAAACGCAAAAACATAAGTGTTTAGATTCTCAAAAAGGTTCAAGTTGAACTCCAGCATTACTTTCAGTCTTGCACAGTGGAACAGGCTTCTCTTCTGTACTGAAATTGCCTACACTCTGATTTCACTGCACAATGTGAGCTGCTCATGGTGTGCATTAGAAGCTGTGGCAATCCACTTTTTTTACTGGCCAGAGGATGTCCAGCATTGTCTAGCTTTTTTCTCCCCATCCTTATGCCTAGTACACACAATGAGAAAATCGGATGAAAAATACCGCTTTCAGAGCGGTCATCCGATCTGATCCTTAGTACACAGCTTTAGATAGCCGATTATGACAGTTCATGCAAAATTAGCCGAAGGGACAAGCACTAAAATTTTTCTCATGCCATGTCAGAACAAACAAATTTCGTTTTTTTTTAATTTTATCTTTTATTACGTTTTTTGCAACCATTTATCATTTACATTTAAAGTACAAACAACTCCCCTAACTTTCCTGTCCCAAGCTCCCCTCATTCCAATCCCCCCATCCCCACCCTACACACAACCCACCCCAGTCCATATCTCTCCAACAATCCAGTTCATGTCTATACCCTTTCTCCTCAACTCTCTCTTCCTACTCTTCTTTTTCTTATTATTCTTTCTTTCCCTCCGACCTTTCTTTTCCCTTTTCCTATATCTGCTACGGTTATACAAGACATTCCCTTTAAATCTCCTACTACAGATCAGAACACTGGGCCTCCCACTACTTCCATATATTTTCCAGATGTCTTGAAGTCAAACCATCTTCCTCAATCCTTTCTAAATTTTTCTATTTTACCTTTGTCTATATGGTATATCTCCTCCATCTTGTTTACATAATCAACCCTCTCTAACCAGTCCCTCATTGTTGGAGGCTCCTGTACCTGCCAAAATTTGGGAATAAGCCCTTTAGCCACGCTATTTAGATTGTATAATACACTATTTTTATACTGCTTCACAGGTACATATGACCTATAGAATAAACACACCCACGGATCCTTCTGTATGGTTGTCCCCAATATCTCTTGTATAATTTGGATTATCTCTTGCCAATACCCCAGTATTTTTGGACAATCCCACCATATATGAGCCATTGTTCCCTTAGCTCCACATCCCCTGCAACAGAGCGGTGAGACTTCTACTCGTTGCTTATGTGCAATACTCGGTGTCAAATACCATTTATAATTCATTTCAACTGTGTTCATATTCATCACCCCATGTGTTAATTTCAATAATTTATTCTTCTGTGATTCATTCATTTTTGTTCCCTTTCCCATTTCTCTAAGAACAGAGGAGGACTTGTCCCCCTCAATTCAGTAAGAATCTTATATATCCCAAAAGTGACATGTTTTGGAGCTCCCATCATCTCTTTGAATGGGAGCATGTCCTCCGCCATCCTCAGGGGTTGGGGCAACTTTGAAACAAAATGTCTTAATTGGTAATATCTCAATTCATCTAATGCTACAAATATCTCTTTTTTTACTTTTTAAATCTTGAAAAGTGCACAACTCCCCCTTCACTACTATATTCCCCAATTGTGCATCTACGTCCTATGGCCACGTCACCCTGAATGCGCCCAATCTCGTCAAATTAATTTTGTTTTATCAATACAGTATTCGTGACCAAGACTGTGCATGCTTGGAAACGAAAGACTACATTACAATACAATACAATACATCACTTACAAAGTTGTATTCTGTCTTATGAGAATTTTTGTAACTTTGGTAACCTATTCATTTTCAGTATGGGAATAAAATCCAAAAGGAAAGCTGATTTCCTTGATCAAAATGGCTCCTGTAGTACCACTTCCGATACCGGAAGTGATGTCACTATGCTCCTCCCCCACCCACTACGTCACTGGTCACATGACCTCCTCAGGGACTTCCACTGGTCACGTGACTTCCTTTTGGTTTTTACACTGAGTGTGATATTTTGCTTTAATAAATGATTTTGTGTGTATATGGGGTTGCACTATGAATTATCCTTTCTCATCTATAGTATACTCATCTGGGTGGATACAGCAAGATATTGGTCTCTTAAAGGGACAGAATGAGTGAAGTAGCTGCAAAGAGGTGGAAGCTAATACACCAAGTTGGATGAATTTCAAGCAATTGTGACCTATGATTATATGGGTCTAATGAGAAGGAGAGCGTGCATGGTGATGGGGTATTGAGCACGCTTTGGAGGTGTTGTTTGAGAATCAAAGTGATCAATGTTCCTCCTGCGCTATAAATGGTGAAAAATACACAACCTTAAAGCTGCCAACACTCTCCTGCTGATACCTGATACAGTGTAAACATAAATAAATAAATAGTGTGGCGCTCTAAAAATAGATATATAAATAAATATATATATATAAACATAACCGTTAGTAATACGTGACCAAATAAATAAGTGACCAATTCATAAAGTGAATTAATTACAGTATGTCCAAAAGATATAAATAAATACCTCAAGTGATTTAAATAATAACTCCAAGTTATGTTGTTACATGAAAAACATTCCATAAAGTGATCATATATAATTATATCCTGTATAAAGTGAACAACGTGCTAACTATTTTTTATCACTACACATCGCATGATTCGGTTATCACTTGATGGACTGAGTGTTTTAAGAATATTCAAGAATTGAAATATATGTTTTTGTACACTTTATTGGCACTTTAGCACGTTGTTTGAGAATCGCCACAACTCACAAGAGAGGATATTTTGGTTGGATGGCCACTTTTTACTACACTTTTATGTGAGTGCACTTATTAATGTTATTCACTTTATAGTAGTCATACGGTGATGCACTGTGATATATATGCTTTTTGCTTGAGCGCATTGTCCACATCTTTGGAGACATCAAGGAGAGTCCAGATGGAAGGGTTGATCTGAATTAATATCACTGATTAACACAGCGCATTTGGCCTATATTGATTTGTAGGTCTAATCACAAGGTGAGCAAGTTTTTCACCCAAAGGAGGGACAGCACCTTATTTGTTTGCACAGCACCGAATTTGTTTCCATGGACTATATACACCATTTTGGACTTTTTTAATATTTACTAACGGACATATTTAATTACTTAGGATATATACATATATATATGTATATATGTAATCAAGAGCTTTTAAGGGATAGCGCACCACATGGTTGGTGTGTATTCCTGTTAGGTGCGTTAGAGGACACATAGTGGTAGCAGCATCCCTGGTTTTGTCATTTATCACTTTTTTGTATATTTTATTTTTGATATTTTCCTCATGTTATTTCATATTTAGGAATTGGGTGGGGACCATAGTAGCACATCAAGCACTGATATCCCCAAGTTAGGAATAATGATGTTACTGTTTGAATAAATAAAGCACTGAATAAATAAAAAAAAAATATTTATAGGGCTAGCTACATGACATTTACTGGGTGAAGAGTCACTTTAAGATAGCTTTGTAAGTGTCTGTGGTTGACCTCATTACTGCAATGTTGTAGAAAATAATAGGCTGTACTCAATATTACAGTAGATTGTACTTATTAGGTTTAATAAAATGGCTACTGATTTTTACAGTGAACATGTCAATCATTTTAACCTTTAAAAGTAAAAGCCTTACCTAACAGCAGGACACTCAAGATCCTAATTTTTTAAGCTAGAAAATCCTCTTCTATGCATCTTTGTTTTCTTCTAGTTTGACTTTTTTTTTTTTTTTTACCAAAAGCTAGAATTTCAGGACTATGAAGGGAAGTTTCACAATATCCCATCCCATATACCTTCCCCTGTTCAGTAAATGTTTAATGTGAGTGAGGCTTAGCATCAAAGCCAGGGAACCTAAAGTTGTTCTTAAGGCAGAAGGTTTTTACCGTAAAGCATCCTAATTATTAAGGTAAAAAACCTTCTGGGTGCAGTTCCCCCTTCAGCCCCCTTATACTTACCTGAGCCCCATCTTGATCCAGCAATGTGCATGAGAGCACCGGCTCTCACACAGCAGCAGGAGCCATTGGCTCCTGCTGCTGTCAGTCACAGTCAGTGAGCCAATGAGGAGGGGCCAAGATGTGCTCTGAGTGTGTATGGACAATGTCCATTCACAGGAGCGTAGCTCAGGAGCGAGCCTGCTTGAGTGCCCCCATAGTGAAAGGCTTGCGATTGGCGGCACATGGCTGGGGGGAAGAAGCAGTACTTCCAGCGGGGGACCAAAAAAAGAGAGTATTGATGCTGTTCTGTGCAAAACCATTGCACAGAGCAGGTAAGTATACCATGTTTGTTATTTAATTTATTTTTTTATTACAATTTACTAGTTTTTACATGAGGTCACTAAAGTAGAATTCTTTTTTTAAGGCTTCATTCCTTTATTTCACTTGGTTATCCCATTAACACATTTCTGTCCCTAGGTAGCTACTCTCACTCCTCCACTGTACCTACTGTATGTAGGGAGCCATGGTTGCCACCCAGACTGAACTTCAAACATGCCTTCAATGGGAGAAGAGGGGTTATTGGATTAATAATTTATAGAAGGAGATAAAGAGGCTCACAGGAATTGACCATCTGGCAACATCAACCAGGATTTTCTGTATTTGTTGCAAATGTTCTTAGCCTTAAAAAATAAATAAACAAATGCACCCATTTCCTAAAAAACTAAAATATCATAATTTCAGGTATGTGTTTATTTAGAAAATAATAGGGTGTATTTTTAAAAGAAAGTAGTATAAATATCTGAATTTTACTTGGTATCAGCCTCTTGCAATCCCTTATACAGCACAGCTCCGACTGGGAGTTGAAGAAGCATCAAGAAGAGTCAGGAAATTGTACTGTAATGTTCTAATGCTAACAAGGAAAATGTTGTTAGGAGAAGAGAGCAGAGTGGCATAAAGATG